CTTCTATTTTTTACATATATTAACTTAATCTTTGTTATATCGGGTATGCAATCAGTATTTTAGCTCACCAAGCTTTTGCAACCTCCCACATGACCCGGACGGATCCAAAATCCAGCTGCTGGGAATCCAGTGAAGTCTCTTGCTCTTCTTGTGCTTTATGTTTTTAAGCTGAACATGTACCAAAACTACCTTGTGATAAGCAGAAAGCTGAGCTCAAAAATGAGGCTGTTTCGAGTTGAGAAATATTGCAACTGGAAAAACAGGAAATTTCAGGCTGCTAAAATTAGTTCGTGTGAATAATGACTTCTCATGCAAAACAGGTTTTGATAAAAGCTCTGCTGGTGCAGCCTCTGCAATCTGGCTGGCATTAAAGAGAAGTGTTGGAGACTGGCACTGAAACAAAGGTATTCTTTCCTAAGACATCCCTCACCTTGCATATCACAGAAACAAATATTTGTCTAGCGCGTCAGTGCCCCAGAAACAGTTTGTTCTTCCAGTGTCATGAAGTGAAGGCTCTCATGTGAGACTGAGCTTGCGCCTGGAGGCACTCAAACCACTTGCAGTAATAATAGTTCGAAGCATCTTTAATTTATGCCTGGCTTCTGTGTCGGATTCCCCTAAGTTTCCATCTTCTTAAATGACAACAACCTGTTTAGAGTGGCTGTGAGGATTCGTGGGAGAGGTGGGGAGGTGATGCAGGATGATGTGCTTGGATTGCCCTATGCATAAATTCATCTCCGACTGGTTTGGGCATGTGCAAGTAGCTCCAACTGTGCTGACCGTGGAGCTGAAAATGGCATATCTGGATGCATGTGGTGATATATTGGAATTAATAACTCCTGCTCAGGGCGGGATTAACGACCAACATTGCACCAGGGTGGCTATGCCGCTGGTGCTTGTGGCATCTCGCCATGCTGTGAGCACTCTGGCCCTGCTAACTCTGGTGGTGTGGCACTGCTGAGACAGCAAATGTAGATGCTAAACCTGTGCCCATCACTGGTGGTGTCAGACACCCCAGCAGGGCTACTTCCTTCCAGCTTAAGGAAGGACCCCTCTTCCTCTGTCTTTCCCATATCCCTGACATCCACTTTCTTATGAGGCCACGTCTGCAGTTCCTGGCTACTCCTGGAAGCAAGGATGAGAACCAGTTCAAGATTAGGACATGTAAGATGTGGACTAGGTTTCTAAGTTCCCATTGCAGTCAATAGAGATGGAGTCAATGGAGACTGGAGAGCGATGCAAAGGTACCATAAAGCAGTTGAAACCATACTGTGAAGGCAGGGGGCCGAGTACAGAGCAGGGTGTGATCTAGTAGCCTCAGTATGGGCATCTGGTGCTATTCGACATGGTCTAGGTCTCCCTCTTGGCCTCCATATGCCACTCCAGAAGGAAGGTCTCCGCAGTGCTTTACACTTGCCAAATCCACGTGGCTGCCCCGGACACCCCAGTGTGGCACTAAAAGTGTAAGTTTAGGCCACTGAACAGCACATCCCAGCGAAATGACTGCTTGCATCAACCCAGGTTGGGCTGAGGTGCCCCCACATAGAGCCCAGTGCCACTGGAGAAGCTGTGGAGTGCACAGGACCCCTGTGCCCAGCTGGCTGGTACGCCATGGGGCTTTGGGGGGCTGGACCATCCTGCAGCTGCAGAGTGAGACCAGATGGGACACCATATGACTGAAACAGCACTCAGCACCTATGCTAGGGTAACCATATTGAGCCCTGGAGTACATCAGACTGTAACAGGAGCTGAAGGATGTAGCTCACATGCAGAAATATTCCAGGAGGTGATTTGATCTCAGACCAAATCCCACCCAAGCAGTTACGGTCTGGCAAACACATTACTACGCTCCTTCTACGGCAACGCATTATTGCCATTCATTTCGACTGCACGTAATACAAACCAAGTCTTTATTACATGAAGCACAGAAACCCTGAAATGGTTTCCTTGTCCTGCAAACAGGAATTCATAGGGGCTCGTTCTTGCTAAACTGATTTAAGCCTTCAGGGTTGGGAATTACCCGTACAGCAAATGAGGAATTTAGATTTGAGGAGTGTGTATGCCTTGCTTGACAAGCCCAACACATGCTGATTTGGAAAACAGAGCAGGAAACGATTGAGCTGAACCTTGCAGAAAGAGCAGCCTTGCTTCGGAAGGGGGAAGGACTATGGATGAGATCGAAGCCTTCCACCTATCGAAGATGTGTTCATGAACTGGGTGTGGAGGACACATTACTTAGCACTGTCTCACCTGTATTCCTCAGCAAGACACACAGAAGAAACAAGTGAAATAACAGGTCTGCCATCAAAAAGACCTTTGGTGCATGAGCCATGGGTGAATGGGACTGAAAACTTGGAGGAAAGCAGAGCCAAGTTTATCTCCAGGCAACCAGAGTGCAACAGTTCACAGCCCTCCTGGGCGCTGCCAGATGGACACATATTTTTATGGTGGCTGTTTGATGATAACCTGAACCTAGGCAGCGGTTGAGCCTGGAAGTGAGGCAGTGTACTGGTGTCTTCCACCTGCATCCTCCTTCTTCCCGCTCTCTGAAGATGGTACTCAGCAAAGTACTACAAAAGCAACAGAAAACACCCTACCTGATTGTCCTGCCATGGCTGGCAAGGACCAAAAATGTCAAAAAACCCAACCCCTAGGCCTTCCATGCTCAGGTTTGCTTGTGGAAGATGGTAAGTTTGGGTCAGCACATGCCATCCTCATCTAAAAGAGCATTAGGGTGTGATGTGTGAAGCAGGCTTGGAGGTATTTTAGCATGTCTGCTGTCTTCCTCACTGCTGTAGCACGTCCTGCTGGGCTTTGCCACAAAGTCAGAATCAGCACTGTCGATTTTTGCTTTGTTATGCAAAAGCTTTTTGCATCCTGCTGTTGATGGTTGCTCCAAGATAAATCCGCCCCCCTGCAAAGTTTTGTACTCAACAAGTTTTCAAATATTCATGTAGATTGGAAAGCCAGTCATCAAGATGATGTTTTTAGGCAGGACTTTGTTTTAAATAAACTTACATGCAAATAAATAAAGCCTTCCTGTACTATCTTAATACAAAAAAGCTATTTTGGGTAGCATATAACTTATGCTTAAGACTAAATGAAAATGTAAAGAATGAACAGTGCACAGAGTGGATAATACAGCAATGACGTTTTTCCTGGCAAAAAATATTTCTACTACAGCATCAAAAAGTTATTCATGTTGACAAGCCATGAAATGTTTACATAAGGAGAAAGGGAACAAAGTAGGAATGCTTTAATGCTGTGCCTCATTGGAGCGGCTTTTTCCTTCAGTCTTGTATAACTGTGACAGTTGTGTAAAAGGGAAAAATAAAAAAAAAAAGGGAAAGCACTGGCAGTGCTGGCATGAAAAGACGTTTGTTTCTGCAGCAGTCAACAGCTACACAGCAGCTCTGTGCTCTCTTGCACAAAAGGAACAGGCATGCTGTGCTCTGCGTGGTCACCCTGGGTCAGCCCATAGCAAAAGCCTGACCTTGTCTTGAAGACCCACATGAATAGGTCCTGCTTCAAAGTCTGCTAGGCTGTGAAGATGCAACCTATGCAATTGTTCTTTGGATGACATGCATGGACTCACGGACCAGAGCCCTAAGCCCAGACCACCCCATCAAGGCAGGCTCCTAAGCTAGAGGGAGTCATCCTACAGGTTCACAGACAAGAAGTTCTGCATTTCCTTTTCAATCCAAATATTAGCAATGATCTCATATGCTCATGCAGACAGAGCTGGATTCAGATGATGGTGCTCAGAAATGTTATGGACACCCTTCTCTGGACGGCACTAATGACCTCTGGCACCAGGGCATCCCTGTGACCACAGTGGCTAGGACACCTCTCCAGTCCTTCCAAGCGGTGTCGCTGGGACAGGAGTTGGATTATCTATTTCCATGGCTCAAGCACTGAGGATGCACCCACATCTAGAGTACTGGCTGCCCCTTTCATGGAGACAAGTCACGGAGACAAGATATAAGGAAAAACCATTTCCCCATGAGGACAGACAAGCAGTGGAACAGGTTGCCTGCAGACCTTGTGCAGTCTCTTGTTTTTGGAGGATTTCAAGACCCAACTGGATAAAGCCCTAGGCAACCTAGTCTGACCTCAAGGACAGGGCTTCCTGAGGTTCCCTCTAACCTAAATTATGCTATTAAGCCTTTCTGAAGAAGGGTGGCAGGTACTGAATGAGGACAGGCACTAAATCTCCATAAACATACGAGTTCTGAGACCTATCCACCACTCTGGAGTATGCACAAAAGTCTTGGTCCTGTAGATTTCTCAAGCAACCAATCCCCACTCCCTTGAGCAGCAATTAGCCCCATTAGAGGAGCAAATCTCTGCCAAGAATGCAAAGGCTTAATGGCTTTATAGAAGAGTGACAAAACTGACAGGGCACAAATCAGCTCACCCTCTCCTATGGGACCTGATGGTTGGATGTGTTAAGGAAAACAATCCCTTATTTTCAGTAAAAATGTCAATACTTTGTATTATATTTTGATGAGAATAATTCACTGCAGTACATGAAAAGCTCTTTCCCCCTTATCTCCCTCTGTGCCCTCCCCAGGGAACAAGAAGCCATTATGGTGATGCCTTGAGAGAGGTGATGCCTTGAGAGAGGTGGCCCTTCAGGATACACCCGTGGGCATGATGCTGTGCTCTGTGGACATGGCTAAATTTGTTTCTCATCAAAGCCAACCTGAGCAGGGGAATGAGTAGCTTCACTAACGTCACAACCTGTGCAAGCTCCTACCAGTGCACACAGTGTAGTCCAGGTGGGAGCAAGGATTTTTGCTTTTGAAGGGTCCTGGTTCATTTCCTGCAACTTCTGCCCAAATTTCAGCCTTTATGTAACTGGGAGGTGTCACGGTTCATGTTATCCTGGGTCACAAGTGTCAGAGATGAACTTTCTTGGACCAGATGAAGTGGGTAACTACAGGTGGGGGAGTGTGTTGCAGGTCCCAACTCTGATTGAAAACCCAACAGATACTCACAGGATGTATGCGATGACCCCAATAGACCAGCAGTCCACGGCTTTGCTGTAGGGTTTCTGGGCCAGCACTTCAGGAGCTGAAAACAAAAAGCCAAACAAGCGCACATTACAAGACCAAACATTTGAATGTGGCCAAGAGGTAGGACCCTGAAACTTGAAGCTCCCTGAGACCCTGTGTTGCCCTCTGCATACAGCCCTCACATTTGCAAATATCCTGATGTTCCTGAAGCTCATATTCTGACAAAGAAGGATGACTCCTAAAGTGGAGTGAATTCCCTGTTTTCTGACTCCATGCACAGAAAACAAAACCAAGCACAGAAAAATGTGTGAGAGGCAGAAAGCCATCACCTCTCTGTCAGAGGAACTTTAGGAGACTTGGAGGAAAACGTGGCCAAGCTTTGCACTGGTCCTGAGACAGACATTCACCCTGACAGCCTCGCAGCTCCACCGCATCGCGCCGCCAAACTAGAGATTTCAAGAGGCAACTCGGAAAGTGCAGCGTGTCAGGGAGGAGATAAGTTACGTCTGCAGGAGAGGAAGCAGAGCTGTCACCATAGCTCCCAACAGCTGCCTTCCAAAGCCTGCTGGATGGGGGGGTCAGAGGGAGTCATTTGTCCTTCTGCCTCTGGGAACACAAACACCTCAGAGGGAGAAATGAAAAACAGCAGGAACTGGACACATGCACAAAGGAACTGAGCCTTCTGCCTCTATAGCTTTCAGCCACCATAATCTGAATTTTGCTCAAAGTGAGAGCCTGGGCACTTATTGAAACTCTTTGCACATCTGCTTTCCTTCCTTACACCAGTGAGAGTTAAAAAGGTGCATTTTTTGTTTGTGAGCCTGGAGTATTATGTTTTCCCTGTTGGGACCTTTCAGTGCAAATGCTTAAACCTAAATTTTAAAACCCTGTGACTGTAATCTTTTTTTTTGTGTAAAGAAGCTTTTGCTTTTTTCAAAGCAAAATGTCCACAATAATGCAATAATGCCACACACTGCATGTGGCATTCCTAAAGCAGACTTGCCACACTGGGTTTTAAAATGTACTTCGGAGTTAAAAAGTACTTTGGAGTTCAAATGCTGCAAAAGAATCATGAAGGGGCAAGTTCCAGCAAAAATATTTCTTTGGGCTTACACCTTCCTCTGCCAGGAGTCTTACCAACATCAGTTAGTTACTTGAAGAATCGCGAAAAATTTGTGAAACACATAAATGTATTGAAACTTGAGCCTCACGTTTAGTTGCTACATATGCTTTGGTGTACTGGTAAGGACTCTTCAGAGAGTTATCTTCTTAAGCTAGACAAGTCAACAAAACTAAGGTCAAAACTGCCAGCAAGGAAGGGAACAGGAAGCAATAATGAGAAACAGAAAAGACTTTCTGGTGCTTGGGCATGAGAGTTTATAGAAGGGATTGAAGGGAAGACGGTGCATGAGGCAGATGAGGGCATCCAGCTTGCATTTCCACAAGCAGCAGAATGATGGAAAGGGTCAAGTCACACGAGGGAGAGGAAGGAAGAAAATCCAGGGAAATGTGGGTAAAAATATAGCTGGCAGCCAGATTATGAATAGTCTTGAAGATTGGGATATGCCCTCATCTGCAGCACAGGGTAAATATTACCCCAATCTTCAAGTCATCCAGCATACTGGGACCACTGCATGTATAAGGAATTAAAATGATGGTTCTGTTTGTATATTGTTTTTTCCTAATACACTGTTGTAATGTGTGAGTGCTCCAACACCTATCCTCTATGTGCCAAATGAGGTTTCTTTCCATTGTACCTAGCATGAACAGCTCCTAACTTGGCCCCAGATGCTTGGCAGAAACCTGCACCCCAATTCCCAAGAAGCCCCTGACTCCTTCCAGGACATGGACACACTGCTGTCATCTATGAAGATAAAGCTTAAAATGTTCTTATTAAAACAGGAGGCAGAGCTGTGCAAATATAAAAGGCATCTTCAGCTGGTGCCCAAAAAGTAACTCCTTTCCCAATGGCTGGGTCGGGGTCTGTGTGTCAGGTTGGTGCTAGACAGTCTGGCAGGGATGAATTTGAAGAAGAACTTGGGTTAAAAGAATAAAGCACTCAAGAGCCAGCCTATTTGGCCTGCCACTGCCTCCCAGATCATCTGGCGAGTCTGCAGAGTCTGGCAAATTTACATTTTTCTTGTATAAACCAGTTGTACCTCAAAGCTGCTCAAGACAACCTTCCCAGACAACCCTTGTGTCCCTTAACCCGACTCTTTCTTTCCTGATTCATCAAAACTTGCTTCCACGTTTTCCTCTAAAAAGAATCTTTTTTTAAAAATGTGCACCAAATAGGGTTTGTGAGACTCCGTTTCCTTTTTGTCCCATCCCTTGTGACTAGATCTTGTGGCAAAATATGCTGAAGAAGAGAGCTCATTTTCCCCTGTCCTTAGGTGACTAGATGTCTTCCAACACTCCAGTCCTTGCAAATTCTCAATATTTTATTCACATATCCCTTCTACCTTTGACTGTCTGCTCCTGTTTGCAAGACTGGTAAACATTATACATCTTATATCCCCCAAAGAAAATATTATGCAAATTACTCCTGAGCACCACGGATCCTAGCGAGCTCCTGACATTATACAGATATGCCACATTAACATAACAGAAAACAAATCTGAGACAAGGGGATGTGAATTATAGGAAGATTCTCCCTGTTAAAACATCAAAGCCATGCTGGGGCATTTCTCTCTGTTTTAAAGGAGTGAGAAGCACTGATAACAGGCAGTTGCTGCTGTGGATGGTGGCTGTGAAGCAGGTAAGAAGACCGCAGAATCAAGCCCAAAGCAAATGTGAGGCTCCCCTTTGGTAAACTTTAACAAAGAAAGGCAGGAGGTTTAAGTAATTATTTTAAAGCCAAATGTCCTCTTTTGGTTTTTGTTCCAAAGAATAGACGTGCAACAGGAGCAGAAGAACATAGCTAAGCATCACCTGTCTCTGGTACATGAAAAAGATGGAAACATTTAATGAGCTGAAAAACAAGTCAGAGGAGCTCTCAGAAGTGATGGTAGATCAGTGCCAAGAGGCAAAAGCAGGAGACACAATGAAAAAAATCCAAGAGCTGACAGCATTGAAGGATTAACATAGACAACCGATGAGGCAAAACAGCAATAAGGAGAACATCAAAGCTCCCGTTTCTGGCACCGGGGAAACGCCAGCTGAGCTTCCAATATCGCAACTCCCCAGGGAATCACTGTGGGCTGAATTGCTATGCAGCAGTCATCCAGAGACGGGGAAATCAACGAATCACACAGAATCACAGAATGGCAGGGGTTGGAAGGGACCTCGGGAGATCATTCAGTCCAACCCCCCTGCTAAAGCAGGGTCACCCACAGCAGGTTGCACAGGACATCGTCCAGGCGGGCTTTGAATATCTCCAGAGAAGGAGACACCACAACCCCCCTGGGCAGCCTGTTCCAGTGCTCCGTCACCCTCAGAGTAAAGAAGTTTTTCCTCATATCCAACTGAAACCTCTTCTGCTTCAGTTTGTGCCCATTGCCCCTTGTCCTGTCGCTGGACACCACTGCAGAGTCTGGCTCCATCCTCATGACATCCACCCTTAAGAGGGTGCTGCACATCCAGGAATTGTATTTCAGGCCAAATCAGCATTGCTACCAGCGACATCTGGCAGGTAAAATGTTGGGTAGTGGTCCCAGGGCCTCATCCCACCTGCAGGTGCCTGAAGACGTGCTTCCCAGGGCACTCCACTTCGAAGCCCCAGATGATCTGCTGTTTCACAGTTAGGGTGGGGTTTTTTGTTTAGTAATGTTTTATTTTTAATAAGATAAAAAATTACAAATCTTGTTTCAAATGGAGGTTTTAAGAAAAGGTACAGAAGAGAATTTGGAAACCTTTGAGAGCGCTGTGCTACTACCCCCCGTGAGCACAGCTATGCCAATACACTCCCTAAAAATGCAGCTGCTGGATGGCAAAACCAGCAACCCATGGTCTTGCAAAGAGCTCAAGTGATGGGGATTGCTCTGATGCTTTAAGTCTGTTGAACAAACTGTACAAGTCATGAGGGTGCCTGTTCTTCATACCAGCCTTATACTTAAAAGCAATTCTCCTTCATTCCCATGACGGTGCTACTCCCAGCAGATTTTGCTGTCTCACAAGCACTCAGTCGAATGCTATTGTCTGTGGTTTATACGGGTTCCCACAAGCTGCATGCCAGAAGGAACGAGGCATTTGAACCAAGGGTGATGGTTTTGAAGATCCCCATAGGAGTGACAAATCAGCAGGCTGCTGTAAATGTAGGAGGAATAAAAAGATCTAAATAGGATTAAAGTAACCAGGGACCTGCTTATACTGGGCAGTGACACAGCTCAACTGGCCCAGCAAATTGGCCTAGTGCAAGCCAGTTCATCTGGTAACTATTTTAGTGCCAGTTTCCATCACATAGGCAGGTCCTGCGAGTAAAGAGGGGGAAATGTGAAAGGGCTGCATGGGTACACAACGGCCATGAAAGCTGAGAGGAAAGGTGAGCAAGGGGCAGAGTTCGTAAGGAAAACCAAAGATAGATGGTCCCAGCACCATTGCTTAGGACTCGAAGGTACCACCTCAAGAAGATGGACAGAGAGGAACAGCCCTGCACTATTGAGAAGATGGTTGGATGCATGAAGGGCCAACCCAGCCCCTCTCCTGAAGCCAAAGACAGTGCAAGAGCAGTGTGAGCTCCCCTGCCACCATACAAAGCATCTTCCTCATGGTGCAAACAGGCTAAGAGGCATATGAAGCAGCTTCACCACAAGACCAGAGTCCCTCTTCCACTGACTCCTGGGATTAGAACAACTTCTTTCCTGCTTTCACACAGTCCTCCAATGTTCATCTTGTTCTGGTTGGCCGAGAGTTGACAGTTTGGGGCTGTTTCTGAAGGACAGCAAGGTTTCAGTGCAGCGTTGCTGGCTTCCTGTGCTCCTGTTGTCCCTATTTCATGCTACTCAGTCAGATTTAGATTGCTGTCATGGAAGATAATGCAGCTACGACCACACGCAAGCAAACCCCATTTCAGGATACAGCAATGGAGCTGAGCGATCGCATTGTCACGAGCTTGCGCCTGAGCAAACCCTGGTGAGAGCAGTTCCCATGCTTTATTTTACTTTATTACTCATATTACTGCCTAAACAACTCCTGAGGTTGCTTTTTGCTAATAAGGATATTCCAAAGGCTTACTGAATATTTTCAAGCCTTTGACTCAAAGAATACCAAATAAGTCAAAATTCAACATGGAAATCTATTGCTTACTTAAATGCTTTGGTCTTGTGCAGGGCTAAGAGAAACACATGGCTTTGATATGATCTGAAATTGCTACTGGATTTCTGGCAGAGCTGAAAGGTGTGAAATGACCTTTCATAAAAGCACTACAGAGAATAAAAACAATGAGTAGTGGCAAGGTGTGGAGGTACCAAACATGCATCCAGGGTCCAGTTGGGTTGGGACCTCAGAGAAAGAATTTTAAATCTCAGTAGGATTGAGATACTAGCCAGCCACAAACACAGTTCATAATTCAGCATTTCTGCAAAAGGAGATCAGATTGCCTGAGACAGGCTTTCTAACATTTTTTCCAAACTTTTCAATGCTCATAAGCATCTCGCTAGTCTAAGTCCCATCTGTAGAAGTAACCAAAGCTTTTGAGAGACCAACACTAATGGAAATTCAGTCAGTGAGACCTAATTCCCAGTCTAAATCTCTTTAAAGGAATTTGCTGAGTGACTGGAGTCACCTCCTGGTGAGTGCCCAACTTGACACACCTCAAGACTGACTCATTTTCAGGCAGTTTTGAACACCTCCTTCATCAAAATCAAGTTCTTAGGGTCTCAAGCCGAGCAGCCCATGACAGATTGCTAACGGCTTACACAGATCTTGCCCATAATCACACAGATCACTCAGGATTTTGAAAACACCACTTCTCCATTCTAGAAGATGGAGTGGGATCCATGCAAGCCAGTCCACACACCTAATTTGCAATGAAATGAGCCACACCAGCTGCCTCATCTTACCCAATTCAGGTGCTATCTACAAGTTGGGTGTCTAGCCCCACCTCATCACCTAGACTCCTTCCATAAGAAATGGAGAGAGATAAGCGTCCTAAGGGGATAAGAAAACCAAAGATCTTTTCATTAGAAGAGGTTGCATTATCAGATCCCCTCTTCAGTAAGTAAACATTTAGATTTGCATCTTAACAAAAGTGCCTCAACTAAGTCTAATTGGTTTAAATGATCCTGTCTAATTGGGTTAAATGACCCTGTCATCTTTTCACCACAGGACCAAAATCTCTGACAAGACTCCAGAAAGAATGAGATCTTCTGAACTGTTGACAGTAATTTAATCTGTAAGGCAGAGCCTTAAAATCATATATGCTAATGCACTACTGGTTATGCACATTTTAGATATACTCTAATTTGATAAGTGATACTTTGATTTTCAGAAAGAACACTGATATTTATTAATGAGATTAATTATAATTACACTCTCACTTATTTGATTAATTTTGAAACCACATAAACAGGATTTAGTGTCTCGGGTACCACTGTTCTTTGGGACTGAAACTAAGAAAAATTGAGCTGAAAAATTGAGCTAAAAAATTGAAACACAGGGAGTTGAAATATCCTAATCGGGGAAATTAGATAGAAATGACAGAGGCCCTTCCACACTTGAAAATGCTTGCAAAGAGCAGCAGACCTGAGTTCAGATCAGCTCTGCTACCGAGTCAGAAGCTTGTCCAGCGCTTTGCGCAGCAGGATCCAACTGGATCCATTTCTGGAGGTAAAGAAGTATAAATTGTAGCAGACGGTAATGACTTCTTCTTCTACTGAGCCCTGGTTCGTTTGGCATGTGATAGGTGCCTAACTTTTTTTCCAAGAATTAAAAAGCAAAGTGGTTAAACTGACAAAAATAACTCATTCCTTATAATATCTACTGTTCTACTTATCGTTAAAGAAAAGCGCCAAGAGTTGTGTTGTAAGTGATGGATCTCTGAGTGTTACTTCAATACTAGGTAAAATCGATGGAAAAAAAACCCAGAAAGAGTTATCAGAGAGGACACTTCATGGGCCAGCACTGTGGCCTGTGTCTGCCTCAGACCAGATGAAGACAACGTGACCATGTTGTGCCATTAGGAGGAAGGACTCCTGCATTTATTTGAGGGCATTAGGTGGGTGCTGCTAATTGGAAGGGCGCTGGAAGACATGAAAGCTTTTGGATGTGGACAAATTGCAGACCATGTATGCAGAAGCCATGGCACCAGGTAGAACACTCCTGAAGGCCTGTTTGTGGGCATCACCACAGTGACTGACAATAAACATTTTCTGTGCTTGGAAAATGTTGTCTGGGCAACCAATTATATTAAAAAAAAAAAAAAGCAGCACTAAAGAGGAGCAGTCTCCTGTGCAAAAAAAACCAAACCCCAAATATTTAAAGAGGTTTTTCTTTGTGCAGAGAGGGGAAAAACTCCTGTCAGCACTTCAGAAATAAGTGGCTGTGACCTCTTGAACCATGATGAGTAAATCCTGCATTCAGTAAGGTAACAAGGGGCCTGGAGGCACTTGTGTAGTTATCAGGGCCCAGACCACGAGTAATGAGAGCTCTCAAACATCTCTCAAAGCACTACAATTCCTGTCACATGCTCTGAGAGCTTCCTCTCCAAAATAGCAAGTTTTCTGATGTAAATGGCTATGCTGAGAGGCTGTATGAGACCACTCCGTGCCCAACCGGAGCCGCACTCCCTCATTTCCATCGGCACTTCAGCAAACATCATCTGAGCTTCCCTCCGTCTCGCAGACTTATTCTAGTCAGTGCCCATTTCAGAACAAAATAAAACATGTTAATTAAGGACAGAAAGGCTGACAGCAAAAATTATGAAAATTGCTGTCTCAGCTCAATTCCTGCTAGTGCTTTGGAAGATTTCCAGTCTGGTGTGATTACACAAGTCAGCTATTCAGGCTGTAGAGTGCATCCTGACTCATCTGCCTTAAAATAAATAAAAAAAAAGATGGGCTGATGCCTTCACGATGGGGAACTGAAGAAATCTGGTTTTTTCCTGATGTTATCAGGAGAGAGTGTGCCTGTGCAGTGGGAAGATAATGCCTGGAAAAGGTGTTCCTGGGACAAATCTGGATTACTGTGTCACAACCACATCATCTGTTTGAGTTCTCTTACCAGGGTATCACCAGAGTTACAAAAACAGGCGAGGTGGCAGCTGCAAAGCAAAAGGAGCCTCTCTGCCTGCTGGAAAACATCAGGTCTTTCCTACTGGAAAGATGTGAGACAAATCTATCCCTGGGGAAGCCACTGTCACTTCAGTTTCATGGATTTCATGGATACCCCAGAGATTAATTTTACCATCTCAGCTGACTAGCTAGGTATCGTAGGAGACACAGGCTTGCTGGGTCTGTCTCATGCATGACGTGAGGCTTTTAAACAGTGTTTGTTCAAACAGACCCTGCCATCACCTGCCATAGAATTCTGACATTCAGTTACTTTAACTTTTTTAAAAGGATGCTGGTAAACACCCTGCTACTCAGTAGCCTGGTGCCATCACTACTGAATGGACAAAAGAGCAAAGAATAAATGATAGGGAACAATTTGATACCACCCAGGAAGGCCCAAGGATCTAAAGAGATACAATTTCTAATACAATCTAAATTTTGTGTACTGACTTCTAGGAGTCAGTAACTTGGTGTAACAGAGAATGACTGAACGTGTCTGAATAAATGCAGCTATTTCATTTTACTGCCTTCTATCAGGGGAATCTAGCAAATGCTATCCTTTATGATTAAAATAATGTTACAGTAGGTAAAGCTTCTTGGTTTTATAAGTGCTTTCAGAATCAATGCATTTGAGGATATTCTTCACGTGCTCCTAATTTAGTTACAAGCAGCGTCTTTGAGAAAACTCATTTTGCAAAGGCTTAAAATCATGAAAGCGAATCCCACAAACCCCGAGCTGGATTGCAGGATGCAGACCCGAGGGAGAGGAACACACAAGGCAGAGCACCAGCAACTTCTGAAATCTCTGTTTCTAACAAACACCTGTAAGATCTCAGGTCAAGTATTCTCCTCTTTTCCTATGTGTCTGTATTGCGGCTGAGAAGAGCGGACAGGTGGTATAACCAAACCTCTTACCAACATAGCCAGGAGTCCCGCAGGCTGTGGACATCACATCTCCTTTACCCTCCATCTTTGACAATCCAAAGTCACTGATCATGATTTTAGACTCTTCATCCTGGCTGTAGTAAAGCAGGTTCTCGGGCTAGAAAGGAGAACAAGCAAAGTGGGCTTTGAATATGTAAGTCCAGTAACAACATCTGTTGGCTGATGCCTTGCATTTAACACAAGCCTTAGCTACATCATACACTAATATAGTTTGCTTCCCCTAAATCCTAAAGACTTGCTCCTACAACGTATATGGAGAACCTCTCCGGAGTTCTCTATGGTGACTAATGGAAGAAGCTGACACCTTGAGCTTTGAGCAATTTTCCTGGGGTAATGAACTTCTCCTTTGGCACCTCAAATAACAACTAAGGCTCGTCCTTTACTTGTGATGTATGTCCAGCATGCCATCACTTCAGAGTGATAAAACAGAAGGATTCATTTGAAGGCAGGTAAATATGGTAAATCCAGGTAGTGTAATGAAAATTTTTTATAAAGCATTTAAAAGAAGAAAAAGGAAAACAGTACTTATTAGAGAATTTTTGTATCTATCTTCTCCACTGGAAATAAACTGTTGTGAGACAGGAAATGCCTTTACAGTTAACAGAGTTGCAGCAAGGATGTTTTAGCTAGAGCTAAATTAGGAAAAAATGCCACAGCTCTAAGCACAGCAACTTGTTTACGCGGAGAGAAACCAAGAGTCACTCCACAAAGTCCCGTGACCTTACATTGACATCAGGTGGGTTGGAGAGCCCAACCAAACTCCATCCGCTACAGCATAGTCCAACATCCGTATGTTTTAAATGTGCCACTGCTGCACAGCAAAGCTCTCGCTAGGTGCTCTTCCCCTGCTTAGTACCTGGGCTCGCAAAAAGGTCCAGCATCTGCTGGCACTATGACAGCCTGGTGGTAACGGGGCGCCTTTGCACCACCTGGACCTTGGGGTCTACATCTATAAAAGTGATGGATACCCAGTGTTTCAACATAACCCTGGTGTAGAGTTTTGCCCAGAAGCTGGTACAAACGCCCACCTGCATGCAACGCATTTTGTCTATCGGCCCCTCTGTGTGCTCCAGCAAATGGTGAGAAGCAGCGGAGGCCACACAACATCATCAAACTCCTTGGGACGCATCCAAGCTTGGGTTTGTAAGGAGGAGCAGTTGCACTGCAGCAAGACCAGCATCTGTCTTCCCTCCTCCATGGCCGTAACCTCCTGCTCTGGGGAAAGTGGGGATGAAGAAGCGCTGGGCATTGACTTTGGCTCCACCCTGCTCTGAGGTTCCCATTCAGCTTCAAGTGGAGGTTAAAGCACTTTCTAGCTGCTCAGCCTCAGCATGAAGCCAGGTAGTGATGGCTTTATCCATGGGACATGATGGCCATGAGACCATTTACAAGCTGCATCCATAGCTGTGAGCCAGTTGGGACTCAGGCAAAAAGGGAAACCATTCCCTTCGTAAAAATCATTATGAAGTTGTACCATTTATGTTGCTTTCTCACAATACCTTGTAAATCCAGTGCTTTAACTGGCCATTATAATGCTGACACTGTTTTTAGGCACTGCGTGAGTCAGATTTATGATATGGTCTGCCCTTGGTTGGAGATATTCCTGTTTTTACAGTGCAGTTCTGACCTGCTGAGGGGGTGGTACAGCCGGTATTAAGGGAAAGACAACTATTTCCCAATGATTTCTGCTAACTCATCTCAGGCCCCCACTTACTCATATTTAGTAAGGCCAAGAAACCCACCCATTTAAAACTTAAACTTGTTTAGAACCTGTTTAAAAGAACTCTGATTCTTCAAGATGGTTAATTCAAAAAGCGTTAACGAGGTGGCTCTGTACCAAGCAGAGCTGCTTGAACCGTTCAGGCCTTTTGTACATCCTGGACTTCCCTGGACTTCATCTGCTGCCATCTCTTGTTATCTGCTGTTGCGTTACTTAGATTAGAGACTTGGAGCACAGATCTGCTTTTGCCAACTACAGCAAGTAGTATTTTGGTATCTGAATAACACATAATTACAATAAATAATTGTTAGAGATGTTTCAAGGGTTGTATTTTTGCAGAGTGGATTCTTTCCCAGATTTTCATTCTGGGGGATCACAATTTGAAACTTGCACTTATCTTGATATTTTGAGATCATAAAAAGCCTTATTATACGCCTATTTTTGCTGTTATGGTATGTTTGTGCTAACAGAAATTCACAGCAGGTGTTCCTCGTGTACCATATTTTATGAGTCGTTTTAACATTATATGGTACTGACAGAGATTGGCAAACAAAAAGAAAGAAGAGCTAGTCTTTGCCCCAAAATACCACTGGAGAGGGTTGGTTTGATCTAAATTCAGCATGTCCTTACATAAACTCTGAAAGTAATTTGCAGATGAATCCACTTCTGAATTACCAGATCTCATATTTTATTATAGGAACTTTTTAATAAGATTAATCTGTTTTAAAGTGAGAGCTACAGCCTTCTTTTAAATTATAAAGATGGAGAATATTAAGAGTTTGTACAATTGACTTAAGAGGACTCAGACCTCCCTCCAAAACCTCCGGTTGCAGAAAGAAGCCTGAAGTTATTCCCTACAAATTGAACTTGAGAGAAAGCTGATCATGCCAAACAATGTTTCCATACTGAAATGTGGTGGAACTCTAATAAATACGGGAATAATTCTGTGTACTTCAGCACAAGAGCAGGAAATTAACGGGAACTGAGGCTAACACGTGAAGACTGTAGAAGATGGAAGAGTAACCAGTTCCTCCTTACAGAAAACCTGCTATTTGGGACCGTTAGGACTAAACTGCACAACACTGAGGGAATATTATTTGCGGACATCAGTGTATATTTTCCTTCAGTGGATTCCAGGTTTTGCCTTAAAAATGTGCTAAACCAATAACTTAAAATAATATTTTCTACTATCTATTAATCTACTCTGTTTTTTGAAGCAAAGATCATAGGGTCCTCACTTCTGGCAGAGGTGTCCAGGACTGAGGACAGGCCCTTGCAGCAGTAAGGCCTGGAAAAGCTCACAATCCCAGGGGAACAACCCCTATGAGGCAAAAAGATTCACATCTGGAGTCAGAGTGGCAGAAGGAAAAGACTGTGTTAACGTTTTTGCAAGACGAGGCCATGTCTGCCCATCTTGGGCGCTGCTCTGCCTCGGTCCTGGCAGTTATGCCCCTAACGGGCTCTGTTTTGGCCCCACTGCCTCACGTCTTGGCATAATTATTTTACTCCATGCAACATTTCAGATCAGCACTAATTTTGGAGGAGTTAAAAAGCAAATAAATAGTATCTCTCATTACTACCATTTTTCACTCACCTTAAGGCAAACCAGTGTGGTCAAGCTGCCAGTGCTACAATCTTTGCTAAGAGTACTTGCCAAAAATTGCAGACGTAAAGTTTAGTATTAGACTGTATTAAAAATGCAATTAATTTAAAAATACATTAAATAAAAAATGTATTTAAGAAGTAAAAAAAAAAGGAAAAAAATTCTTCTTTGCGGCTCTTGACTCTGTTCATTAAACCTTTAAATAATATGACCTATCTAGCCAAATTCAACTATCTTTACATGGGGACAATTCAAGGCCACAGCGTCAACCTCCAAGGCAACTTCTGACCGGAGCATACCTCCAAAACACAACCAAGAAGTGTTATCTCATTCACTGAATTCTTAATTTCTGGCAGTAAACGTTGATAGAATTAACTCATTTGGGAACTGAAACCACAGTTTTCTTTTGACATTTGTATCTTTTTTTCTAATGCCTTCTGCTAATTGCTAATTTATTATTTAAGGTACTAAAGATGGGGAGGTTTAGCTGTGTGTTATGAAATCCAAGCCTTCATGCTTATTTTAATGACAGTTTAAGATACAGGAAGGAAACAATACTGAAATAATGTTTTGGGGGTTTTTTTGCCAGAAAAGCTGAGAGGTTTTGATGTGGTAATACAGTACAGCTGAAAGGAAAATTGTCTAAAAATCACATTGGCACAAAATGTTCCTTAGAAGAATCCTTGCTGTTAACAGTGCCTCCAGAAACACTGGTCCAAATAGCACGATAGGAGATCATTCTCCACTTTCCCACCCTATTTTTTGCTACTAATTATTATTAAATAAAAAAAAAATACAGCACAGCAAATCTGAAAGATATTTTATAGCAGTTAACACATCCCAGCTGAGATGAGCTGCCTGCTTTAATGTAATGTTTTGGGCCTTAATGAATGACTCTTCCTCCACATGATATGTGCAAAACTCCCATTGTAGCAGCACTGATTGCAAAGTCCTCATTAAAACCAATTACGATGGGAGGATATGGAGCCTTCAGAGCATCCCTCTTATGGTAAAACCTTATTGAAACAGCCAGTCCCAGGCGAGGCTGGATTTTCACGTGTTAAACTCACATAACTATGCAACTTTCGTTAACACTGCCCAGAGGACTGAGTCCCGCTGCGGTCGTACCTTGAGGTCCCTGTGCACGATGCCCATTCGGTGCAGGTAGTAGACAGCATCCAGGACCTGCCGGATCAGGGTGCTGGCATCCTTCTCAGTGTAGAACCCTTTCTCGACGATGCGGTCAAAAAGCTCTCCCCCAGACACTCTGGAAAACATGGCAGGATGCAGGAGTGTGAGGATATGCTTTGTAATGTCCCTTCTACCTTGCTCAAGGATGGCCAAGGCCATGAGCTAGCCACAGGCAGTCCAAGCACATGTCTGTCTGGAGCTCGGGGTCTTCCCAAGCATTTGGGTTTGATTTCTTCATAATCCAAGGACTGGCCTCAGAGGCCAGAAGAGTAGCAAGGGGCAAAGAAAAGAAGTAACAGAACTAAACCAGAAACAGTCATGGTATAATGGACAATAAATTCCATCACACAGCAGAGAGTGGCCAAAGACTCATTAGCAATTGCAGAGGGAAACCACAACTCTACCCCAGCAAAAGCCAGGGCAAGCAGACACCAGCTCCCATGCTGTCCCATCCTAGTGAACTTTGTATAGGTGAACTGGGTCTGCCTTTCCTGCT